ATCCGTGGACTCACTGTCATTATGAACCAAACCATGGATTTATTCACACAAATCAGAGATACTCTGACTTTCATTATAAGTAACTATCGTTTCGATGACAAGTCTTCGTCAGCGTCTACTTCCTCGGCGGTAGAGTTGGCGCACAAACTGTTGTCCCAAATGGAGGGCAAAGACAAGTGCATCGAAAGGCTGTATCTCTTCTACTACTTAAGCGAAATCGTGAGACACATGACAAGTGTGAGTGAAAGCCACCAATTCATCAACACTTTGTTCTCATCACCACTGAGTCAAAGACACGCCAACCTTATGTCACAACTGATATCATTGGCGCTGAGTCTGCGAAACGAAGAGCTGTTGAACTGTACGGCGAAGTATGTCTTGACTTGTGATCGCCTCGAGTTAAACAATCACATGAAACTCGAGTCCACTTTAGCCACGGATTCGCCACAATTCTGCGCCGCTTTCATCAGTAAAGGATATTTCGTGGGCAACGGTATCACAAAACAACAGTTAACCCATTGGTTGAACACTTTGGTGGACGTCATAGAAGACAATCAACTGGTGCTCAACGCGTCCATCAGGTTCTCGCTTCTGGACGGCGCCGTCGACTCTGACCTCCATTTGGCGATCATAAGTGTGATCCAAGAGCGCAAGTGTCAGCCCCTGTCCAACCAATTGGTGGTAGACTTGGCGACAGTAATCTCCCAGCGCACCAACAATGAGGAACTGGTGGACCGTTTGGCGCAAATCATAATTATCTCATATTCTTGTAATATGTGTCAGCAATCAAATCACGTGAAAAATACTTTATTGTCTAAATTTCCCAATAATTTACTCATTAAAGCCATTTGTAAATAGTTATGAAACAAACAAATAGTTATCGATATATAAGAATAAGTTATTTATATTAAAATTATATATAATTTTAACATCAATTAAATTATATATAAGTAGACAAACATTATTTGCATATTTATAAACATTTATAATAATAAAACTTTGAGTTATAAATACTTTTTGGTCAAAAACACATGTACACAACAATTTCATAATTGATTTCTTGATTGTAATTCATTTAAATAAATGATTTCAAAAGCGGACAAATGCTCTAAATTAGGCTTTGATTGCCAGCGCAGGTATAGCGCCGACCAGAACTCGGTTTTACTGATGTGTGCATTGAGTTTCAAAATAATCGTTTTGTGTCTCTTATAGATCGGGTTTTTCATTAGCATTAAATCATTGACAGCTAATCCCTCTCTAATGGCCGCACATTTCAAATCAGTTTCTGTGCTCTTCATCGAAGCGGTTCTGAAGTTTGGAATGAATGGCGTCGACGACTGGATGTATTGACAATCAAAGAGGTATATGAGATAAAACGTGGAGAACTCGAAGTCGTATGGATTTTGTAGGATTAGTTGCGAAACACAGTCCAGGAATAGAGTGAACAGAATATGATTGACATTTCGGGGGCTATTCTTGCGATACGCCAAACCCGATAAATACAGCCATTCCTTACTTATCAGAGACTCGAAGCCACTGAATGTTCTTCGTTTGGGATCAACGAGGATCTGAACCAAGGAAGCGATCACACAATTCCAGTCTCTGTCCAAGTCCTCCACTAACCCAACGGATGCCTCTTTTGTGATCATCTGAACGATTTGTGCGACAGCTTTAAGGGTAGTGTTCACACATGTCATCCATTTGCCCATTTTGCTGATACAGACACTCGACTCTTCACTCAAATGACTTTGAAAACAAACTTCTTTCAACTTTTCATAACTTTGCTCCACAGCAGCAATCGTTGGTAACAGCGATTCCACATTGATTTGTCTCAAAGGGCTGACCATATCTTTCAACAATGAGTTCAAGTCTTCGTAGTTATCGAAAGCAGAGCTTCTGATCAATAGATTGCCGTTTTGTGGGTAAAGGTATGAAACGACGGGAACTCTTTGACCCCTGGTTTGTGTGGAGATGAGAGCGATGAGCATCTGATCGGTGATCACTTTGGGAACAACGAAAGAGGGCGGAAGGCTATCACACAACTGGTAGTTCTCATTGGTTTGTGTCACTCGAAGTTTATAGCAGTCCTTCCAATGGCTCTCGAATTGATTCCAATCGGCTTTCAACACATAATTGTAATTATCTTTCAGTGATTTCGTCAGTTTTGAACACTTCCTGAGAATACTATTCACTGCCAATCGACTCAATTTGTCGACAATTCGTTTGGTTTGGTCGCAGTTCTTCATCTGAAAGCGGATGCGCCGGAAGTTCTGGCAAAAGATTGTCAACTCAATGAAGTTGTTGTCAATCGTGTCCTTCATCTGGTCGATGGCTAACAAATCGATTTCAAACTTCGAAGACTTCTCGTTATAAAATGGTATGAATTGTGACAATGAAGTGATCGTTTGGTGGCTCTTGTCTTCGGTGTGTTGTGAGGTATAGCTTAAGAACAGTAATCCATTGGAATTGAGTGTCAATTGACCGCAAATACCAGTTCTGTGTTTAGTGTGTGAGTAGAAGTAGTTGACGCCATCGATGGTGTCACTCAGCGCTGATCCCATGGAAGCAGTGCTTCGATGCATAGCTTTTCGATCTCTTGTGTCCAATGATAGCCAAGAGTTGCGCCGAGTTTTGCCCAAATCAGTGGTCACTCCGTTCTCATCCAAAGTGGTCCACATCTGATCCAATATAACAGACATTCGTATCAATCAAATACACCATCGGTTGAGCACTTACTTCATCCGTGTTTGTCATCGGAGGCGTCGGACTCTCTTTGTCCGCATTATTCGCGTCCGGATTCACCTCTAAGTCGATGTAAGACTTGAATGTCTTCTTATTGGTGTTGTTAGCGATGATTGAGTTGATGGACGCGTTTCTCGCCATCGATGACTTCAAATGATTCATCACTTGATCACTTCTATGCAAATGCCTTCAATTGGTGGTCATATCGACTGCAATGCAATGAGTGTTTGATTGCAATGCACTTGAAATGAACTAATTGTAAACCAATGCTTACAATACAGTGATTGCTTTGCAATCAAAACACAGTCAGACATACTGTCAGTGCTATGACTGCGAGTGAGTCTATGAGTATTGAAACGCCCACTGAAACACATACAGCCACTCATTCACCACATTATAGTCAATGCATTCAAACTTCATTGTCAATTGTCGGACAGACATACAATTTAAAGTCAATCAATGAGTTTGTGGTCAACATATTGAACATACCTACCCATACATACCGTAATAGCTTATTGGTACTGATTCATAAAACTATTTAATTGTTTACTCCATTAGTTATGAAAGCAATTGAAATATTTGAGATGTTTTTTCATTAACTTATTATTATATTAATATGAGATAAACGGGTGGAAAGTATTAGAAATCATTGAAAAGACAAATTGCATTCAAAGGATAATTGAAATCTTATTTGACAGGTTTTGTAAATACAGATACAAATAATTAAAACTATATTTTAGTCACAAATTCACACTTAAATGTTAGAAAACGTATACAAAAGTATTGACAGATATTATAGTAATTTTATAAATCTTGTAATATTTAATACAATAATATAAGAATTCATAAGAATTGGATAATTATTTAATTGGAGTCATTGTCACCATTGATATCATTATCTTCTTCTTCGTCCTCCTCTTCGTCTTCTTGATCGTCATCTTCTCCATTGTCCTCCTCTTCGTCTTCGCCATCGTCTTCTTCGTCCTGTAAATCGATTCAAATTAATTGTCATTCATTTAAATGGATTATCGGTAATGAGTACCGTTTGGTCGCAGTGATGGCAATACCAGGTGTACCCCCTTTGCTTGGGTGTCTTTTTCATGGGTGGGTCCAAACAACCCAAATGATAATTGTTGTGACAGTTATCACACCTATCAATACATTTGAAACATTGAGTAAAACTATAAAACGATTAAAAGAGTGAGTTCTCGAAGCCTTACTGAACGCGTTCTTTAATGGTTGCCATTTGATTGCATTGAAAGCAGAGCTCCTCTTCATTTTCCACTTGTTTTCGTTGCGATCGGACAGCTCTTCGACTGGATTTGGGTCTCGTTTCTGATGTCTGGTTGTCATCACTTTTGTTTGCTTTCAGTTTCTTATTCTTCTTTTTGGTCGAATGAATCTTTCTTTTGCCTAATTTGGGGGTAAATAATAGACTGGAAGGGGAGGGCGAGTAGCCGGCGTCGGGCTCGAACTTATTGGGTCCCTTCACGTGCTCTCGTAGTCTTCGCGGCGCATCCATCGCCGACTGATTGCTGGTCTCGTTGTCACTGTCGACTGTGTCCTGTTGTTGTTCCGTACACTCAGAGCACTGCCATCCGCCGAATCGAGTCTTTTTAGGCATTCGACTCAGCGGTGGGTCCAGACAGTAGAGGTGGTAATAGAGGTGACACGAGTCACACAACGCTAACTGGTGCTGGTCTTTGGTTTGGTGACAGATCCCACACTCGACTATCTCTAACACAGAACTCCGTCGCGTTTTCGACTCATTCAGAGCTAACTTCTCTCGTCTATTGGCTTCAATTGTTTCCAATAGCTTTGGTAACGGTATGTTTTGCTCAGACAATTGGTTCAGAATATTGAAGTAATTCTTAATATGAGTTCGAAGGCCATCCGATTCCTCTTTGATTGGTTCCAACTCTTGCAGACACTTATCGTATGCCAAACGCGTGGTTTTCTCGGTCTCCTTGAGTTGATTGTTCTGAACAATGAGTTCTTCAGAGCGCTTCTGCATTGAAGACATCCTATTATTGCGATCTGTTTAAAGGATTTCATATATCAGAGAATCCATGGTTTGTGTAATAGTTTGCAATTCAAACCGATATAATAGCTGATGAACTCGACCGAGAAGGCCGCCGGGACGTGCCATTTGCGCCGTACGTCTCCCACTTCATGCGATATGATATGGGTTTGAGGACTGAGTCCTAATAACTCTGCTTTTCTTATTAGTCTCTTCATTACTGACGGACAGGTCTGCAAAAGTCGCGGTATTTTCTGAGTGGGAACTAAGGGTATATCAAATGAAACATTCGTTTATTATTAGGTAATCAGCAAAAGATAACATTCAATACAAACCCCAAACTTTTCCCTCGACTTCGCATCGATTTTCATTCCATTTGTTCCGTTGCTTAAGAAGTTTTAATTTAATTCTTTGATTCGTAATTGGCTTTAGAGTTGATCTGAAGGTGGACTGAAGAGCCAACCAATTGCGGCGTTTGCTTTTCACAGTAGATCTGTCGGCGTGTAGTTTACAGTAAGCGATGAATGGGTCCACTTCTTCGGCTGAATGACACTCTGATAGAAGTCCTTCCCTTTGAGCACAAGTGACATGAAAATACGATTTACACATTCCGGCGTCACAGCAGACACTGATCCCGGTTCGGCTCAGTCTGTCGTCTTCGCACAGAATACATGCCTTTCGGAGAGAATTCAAGAATTGAGAGATCAATCAAATGTTGGATTAAGTCTTACTTTAAGACCCCATCGAGAATAAGGCAATTCAAAGAGTGTCAGTCCTGTCAGTCGTGTCACATCACTGAACGCCACTCCCGGTATGTATAGCGCGCACACCATATGAACCCATCTATGGATTCAATGAATACAGTTATGGCATACAAATGGTCACAAATGGACACAATTCACATACCGGCCCACATCTGTCGCTTTGAATATTCCGCCAGAATTTGGACACAATTCGCAATACTTTGGATGAATTGAGTATTTGAAGTGAGAATCATAGCAAAGGTGACCAAAACAATGGATTACTGACCGGATTGTAGACACAGGCGCGACACGGATCACAAAACCATGGCTCAGTAGATGCCGAAGACGTGTTGGAATGGACTGATTCGGCGTCATCCGAACAAATACCATAACATCCCTCGTGTACTGATATCCCACACGAATCGCATTCAACGATCTCATCATCGCTTCTGGAGATATCACCCAAACAGACACTACAGACCAGTATTGAAGGGGCGCTACACGTCTGTCGCGGAGGAGTTCTGTGGCCGACTGTCGCTAAAGAATCCGATGGTTTGGTCAAAGACTTCTTGGTCGCAAATTTAGCGCTATTTTTCGATGGCTTCCGGTCCTCATCGCTGTCATCATCGTCTTCGTCGTCATTGTCTGCACTCTTATCGTTGCCATCACTGGACTCATCGTCTTCGATGTCCTCGTCGTCATCGACGGTATCGTTTGGCACGTATTCACAATCACTGTCGTCGTCGCTGTCGTCCAAATCAGTGGCAAATATGAGACTCTCGACGGGCTTTACCTTCCGCTTCTTGGGATCCCTTTCGACTGAATGTCCGAAACAATCATTCAATGGTTTAATCATTACCTCAAAGACTCACTCATTGTTCTGTAGAGGAATCCCAGATCCAAGTCGTTGTTCGGCATCTTCTGGAGTAGATATCAGTTGATGACAATTGAACCACAAATTGAATGCAACGCCGATTCAGATGAAGTGATAATTGCTTTCAAACAATGCTTTAATCGATAAGTAATTCAAATTGTAATCAAAATCTGTATTCAAGACTCAAACAAGAAATGAAAAAGTGTTTCAAAAAATCAATAATTAATTTCAAGTAATAAATAACGTCTATTCATATTAATTGTAAGTTTAATTAATTGGCTTGAAAACTGAATTAAATTAAATTAAATCTTAATCACTATGAAGGAGATTAACACGGGATTAGTATTTATAAAAATAAATAATTAATAAACTCTTTAATTATATAACAATTTAAAACAAATGAAAGTTTTGTGAAGTAATTGTAATTTATGGCAATTTTAGTGTTGAATCATTTGTTTGAAACAAAAACAAATCATAAATATCTGTAAATTGAGTTGAATTTGAATTATTGCCACAATTGTTGGCACAAACTGTTCACAATTGGTCTCATAGTTGAGTCTCAAGAGTGAAGACACGGCCGAATCGGAGGAATGGCAGATATGGATCGGAACCGTCGGATGGTTGCTATCGCTAAACAGGTATCGATCGAGTGATTGACTGAATTGGATGACAGCATGGGTTGTCATATGAGTGCACCACTGATTGACTCATTGTCTGACCACTGATTCAGAATCTGATCGAATCTGGAGAACGGGAACAACTGATACAACTGTTGCGGACACGGCTTCTCGAGTGCGGATGGAGGGATCAGGTGGTGATGCAGTGCAAGGATGTGGTGAGAGATGTCGGCGTAGAGAACATCACATTAGATAAACTCATAGCAGAAGTGACGCCAAAAGCCCGACAATCGGTTCCCGATTCAGTGAAACGGGAATTACTTCAGAAGATCAAGACTTCCGTCTCAAACCAGAGCTCATTCTCGACATCGCCTTTCAATCACAACTAATTTAACGCATGAATTACACCACAAAATGGACTCAATTTTGATTAGTTTTTGTAAATATGAAAGCATTTGTCAAACATTTCTATAAAACAATAAAATCTTTTATTTACTATTTGTGTTATTATTAAAACTAAAGTTATTTTATCAAATATATTTCATTAATGTATAGATTTTTGGTTAAGAAATACAATCCTTTATGTATTAGTGACTGGACTTCATATCTGTCCGGTTCTGAGGCCAAGAGTGTCGTGAAGTCGTTGTAAACGATTGACGAACTCTTGTAAAGTAGAGTCTGTTTGCAACTCATTGGTTGTGCCCAAAGAGCTGGCGCTGACAGCCTTCGCCACATTGGGTCTGCTTTTGCTGTGATTCCTTGACTTCCATTTGCGGACCAAGAGTTTCATTCTTGAGATGGCAATCACACAGTAGACAGCACTTCGGAACCGATTTCTGCTGCTTTGAAAAGCTGGTAATTCGTCGTCAACTGAGTGAACATAACGACTATAAGTCAACAAAACAAACGATAGATTGAAAGCTATGTATGAATACCTGTTACGTTCATATTGGCCAACAGTGCCAGAGTTGCCCTTTCCGTCAGTTGAAAGCCGCCCAACACGTGAAGCAAATACTTCTTTTGATGAATTAACGCATTCTTATGACTAATAACTCGCTTTAATTTCCACAACAACTGAGAAGAGACACCATTTAGTCGTTCTTCTTCTTCGGTTCCCTTTTCATCGGCTTTTTGTTTGATGGCTACAAGTATTGCATCCTTTGAACTCAATTTAAGCCGCAATTCGTCGTTTTCTCTAACGAGTGAACATTTCTCTGACTCTATTGTCTTTAGCTGACGCTTAAGAGCATTCAATTCGTCCAATAATTGTGAAATTTTCTTGTTTTTATCCTCTATTTGTTGTTTGATGGCTACAAGTATTGAATCCTTAGAACTTAAATTAATCCTTAATTCGCCGTTTTCTCTAACGAGTGAACACTTCTCTGAGTCTATTGTCTTAAATTGACGCTTAAGAGCATTCAATTCGTCCAATAATTGTGATGTTTTGCTGTTTTTATCGTCAATTTGTTGTTTGATGGCCACAAGTATAGAATCCTTTGAACTCAAACTAATCCTTAATTCCCCGTTTTCTCTAACGAGGGAACACTTCTCAGAATCTATTGCCTTAAACTGTCGCTTAAGAGCATCCAATTCGTCAAATAATTGAGAAGTTTTGTCGTTTTTATCGTCTATTTGTTGTTTGATGGCCACAAGTATTGCATCTTTTGAACTCAATTTAAGCCTTAATTCGTCGTTTTCTCTAATGAGTGAACACTTCTCTGAGTCTATTGTCTTAAACTGACGCTTAAGAGCATTCAATTCATCCAACAATTGTAAAGTTTTGTTGTTTTTATCGTCCATTAGTTGTTTAAGTGAAATCAATTCAAAGTCATATTTCTTATTCTTTTGCTCTTCAGATATAAGTTTATTCTGTAATTCTTCGAACATATGCTTCATTTCTGAAGAATCTAACGTTAACTCCAGTCTTGACTTAAGTGAACTCAACTGCAAGTGTTTCGTATTGAGTGCTTCTTTCAGGATTTCGTTAGATCTTTGAATTTCAGTCAAATTTCTTTCTATACTTTGCTTCTCTTTAACCAATTCATCAAAATCTTTGTTTTTCTCACTCCTAATGAGTTCTACTTCTTTCTTAAGACCGTTGTTCTGAAGAAGTAATTTATCGATGCATTCGTTTAAGGCATTCAATTTGTCACTAAGAAGTCCCACATCAGTATAGGAGCACTCGATGGACGTGTCCTCTGATTCACTGTCACCTTCGGCTGAGCCGAGAGTGTTCTGCAAGATGTGGGTCTTAGAAGTGATTTGTTCTAATATATTGTTCGCCAGCATATCGTTCTGCGATTCCTCGTTAATCCTAATCTGCAGTTCNTATTGCATCCTTTGAACTCAATTTAAGCCTTAATTCGTCGTTTTCTCTAACGAGTGAACATTTCTCTGACTCTATTGTCTTTAGCTGACGCTTAAGAGCATTCAATTCGTCCAATAATTGTGAAATTTTCTTGTTTTTATCCTCTATTTGTTGTTTGATGGCTACAAGTATTGAATCCTTTGAACTTAAATTAATCCTTAATTCGCCGTTTTCTCTAACGAGTGAACACTTCTCTGAGTCTATTGTCTTAAATTGACGCTTAAGAGCATTCAATTCGTCCAATAATTGTGAAGTTTTGCTGTTTTTATCGTCAATTTGTTGTTTGATGGCCACAAGTATAGAATCCTTTGAATTCAAACTAATCCTTAATTCCCCGTTTTCTCTAACGAGGGAACACTTCTCAGAATCTATTGCCTTAAACTGTCGCTTAAGAGCATTCAATTCGTCAAATAATTGAGAAGTTTTGTCGTTTTTATCGTCTATTTGTTGTTTGATGGCCACAAGTATTGCATCCTTTGAACTCAATTTAAGCCTTAATTCGTCGTTTTCTCTAATGAGTGAACACTTTTCTGAGTCTATTGTCTTAAACTGACGCTTAAGAGCATTCAATTCATCCAACAATTGTAAAGTTTTGTTGTTTTTATCGTCCATTAGCTGTTTAAGTGAAATCAATTCAAAGTCATATTTCTTATTCTTTTGCTCTTCAGATATAAGTTTATTCTGTAATTCTTCGAACATATGCTTCATTTCTGAAGAATCTAACGTTAACTCCAGTCTTGACTTAAGTGAACTCAACTGCAAGTGTTTCGTATTGAGTGCTTCTTTCAGGATTTCGTTAGATCTTTGAATTTCAGTCAAATTTCTTTCTATACTTTGCTTCTCTTTAACCAATTCATCAAAATCTTTGTTTTTCTCACTCCTAATGAGTTCTACTTCTTTCTTAAGACCGTTGTTCTGAAGAAGTAATTTATCGATGCATTCGTTTAAGGCATTCAATTTGTCACTAAGAAGTCCCACATCAGTATAGGAGCACTCGATGGACGTGTCCTCTGATTCACTGTCGCCTTCGGCTGAGCCGAGAGTGTTCTGCAAGATGTGGGTCTTAGAAGTGATTTGTTCTAATATATTGTTCGCCAGCATATCGTTCTGCGATTCCTCGTTAATCCTAATCTGCAGTTCCAGCGCTTCATTCAAGCCATCGATCTTTGAACGCAAATTTTTCTCCGATTGATTACTTTTATCGCTCTCTCTCTCCATTTGTTTGATTATTGCTTTTAATTCTATTATCTCATTGTTGGCACTCTTCAGCTGATGATTACAATCGTTGAGTTGTTTCTCTTTAAAGCACTTCTCTTCAGTCAAACAACTGATTTGTGTTTCCATTTCTTCCAAACGAGACCTTAGTTTCGATTCACTCTTCTCCTTATCTTTGATCCTTTCGGTCAACGCAACCAACTCTTTATGGTATTCATCCCTTTCGAGCTCTCGTTCGTGTGTTTGTTCGTCAATAAACTTACGATAACTCAATATATTCTTCTCATTCGCTTCGATCTGAGCCACAAAATCCTCGCATTCTCTGCGTTTATCATCGAGAATGTCGTCTCTTTCACTCCTAAGTGTCTCACTCTCGAGGGTTAAAGTGTGTATTCGTTGCAAGAGTTTGATCCGCTCTTGTTGTAGTTGAAGGACATCACTATTTAGAGACTCGTTATCGTCAACCAATTCTATGGTTTAGCAATTAATAACAGGAATAGAAACGCATAAATCAATTATAGCGATAATTATGGAAATAACCCACAGAATAGAAATGCCATTCAATAACCAACAAACCTGTGTTTGCGAACAGTGCAGTGTTTTGTGCAGAGATATCAGTGCTATTTATAGAGACTATATTTGATAGGAAATGCATTATTAGATAATTAGATACCAATCACCAAAAGTTAAAGATAGTGTACGAAGAATAATGCGCTTAAGCTGTGCGTCACTTACTTTTCTGGAGTTGTGGTAATCCCTGTGCGAAAGAGCACTTCTCGTCCTGAAGACGTTTGTTGTCATTAAGCCATTTGTCGCGTTCCAACTCATACTCATTCATCTTAGCCCTCGTTGTCTCCAATTGTCTCTTCATTTCGTTGTAATCAATAAGTTTGTCAGAAAGGGATGTCTTCTCCTTCTCAAGAGATTTCACGCGATCCTCGATTTGCAACAACTGTGCCGTCAATTTGTTGCGTCGGACACACTCTTCGTTCAGTTCTGACAGGAGTTCTTCATTCTTCTTGGCCACAGAACTGAAGTCATGTTCGTGTTGTGTGGACACGATCTCACTCAACAACTTCAGGATCCGGTCGACAGCAGTGCGGAGTCGTCTACTGGCGCCCAAAACTACGTCCTCCTCCATCTCAACCTCGTTATTATGACCCGAAGGAGGCGTATAATAGATTGCATTTGAATTGGGCGTCAAATCTGGTCCGTCTTCGCACAACTCATTCGTTTCCTCAAGTCTTTCATTGATGTCTTCATTAAGCGAAACAAAACTCTGCAGTAATTCCTCTTTATTTGTCACTTTGTTCTCAATTCCCATATCTATTAAATGCTTTTGGATGTCGTGTTCGGTATCAATGAAAGTCTTTACTAAATCTGATAACACATGAA